GACGCGTGGGTAAAGAGGGGCCGTTCAAGATGGGCCGGTGAAGATGGGTCGGTCCAGATGGGTCGGTCCAGACGGGCCGGTGAAGATGGGCCGGTGAAGACGGTGTAACTCAATAAGGACCGTCACCAGACCCGGTCCATAAACTCACAGCTGAATTCTGTGGCTCTCAATGTTCCTAATAAGGACATAAAAGAAGCAGGTTGAACAAACAGGAAGTAGAACCCAGGGTTCTGCAGGTACAGGGGGCAGAGCCACAGCTTTGAACACACCTCTCCAGGTTGCCAGGTTACCAGGTACAAAACCAAGGAAAACACAAAGTGATCAGACTGGATTTTTGGACTTGAATGATCTTGTCTGAAACACACACACACACACACACACACACACACACACACACTGCAGGAGAACCATCCCTTTAAGAGTGCCTTTGGATGACGTCCATATAAGGAGATATTGGAGCAAGTCACATGGGGGGAAGAATGCATCGGCCAGGTCATGTGACCAGTGTGAGGAAATGAATGAATGTCCCTTTTTAAGGCGGTGAACGTGTGTGTGTGTGTGTGTGTGTGTGTGGAGACAGGAAGTTCTGATGTTTACGCTGGGAAACGTTTCCTCGTTCAGACTGAAGAAAACCTTCGTTTATTCCTTTATTGGACAAAGTCAGGGACGACCGTCTGTTGTTTTCTGCTCATGTCAGATCTCCACCGTGTGTGTGACTCATGCATGTATTGCAACACACACACACACACACACACACACACACACACCCTGCGTTGCTCACTTGCACAGTCAGTGAAACTCTCAGGCCTGACACAGACCACGACCGTATATGGACACGGCAGCAGGTACTTCCCCCCTCCCCCCCTCTGTTTCCTCCAGCACATTATTCACTACTGACACTTCCTCTACATCTATCACCCCCCCCCCCTCATTTTCCCAGGACAGGGAGGTGCAGTGTGGGGGTCAGCGAGCATGTTTGACCGTGGTCATCATCTGATCTGGAAAACTCTGAAAAACTCTGAAAAACTCTGTTTGTTTCAATGAAGAATTAACCAGAAAAACACAGAAGAATCCAGATCTGTTTGTTTCAATGAAGGATTAACCAGAAAAACACAGAAGAATCCAACAATCATCCCACAATCATCCGACAATCATCCAACAATCATCCCACAATCATCCCACAATCATCCGACAATCATCCGACAATCATCCGACAATCATCCGACAATCATCCGACAGAACCTCCGTGGGTCAGTAGTCAAGCCTGAATGTTTATTTGAATGAAGTCAGAAACAGTGATTGAACAACAACTGTGACAGTGAATTCCCAGAATTCCCAGATGACCTGAGCTCGGTCCAGGCGGTCCAGCTCTTTCCGATCTCTACCAGCTCCATGCCTTCACAGTACGACCGCGGCCTGGAAACTCTCACCTGCTCTCACACAGGAACAGGACAGCGGTTAAGATGACATCACGAAACCAAAACAGCGGCGGCAGCGGCAGCGGCGGCGCGGTCACACTCACTGTGGCTGCTCCGTGGGAGGAGAGCTGCTGCAGGATTGGGAACGGGGTCCAGTGAATGGGCTCCACGGGCCAACTACAGACAGAAAGGTCACTGGCCTTCCCAGAGTCCAGGACCCCCTCCCCCACACTCAGCTCACTGCCCCTCCATCCATACTGGGAGCTACGGCACAGACAAACACAGAGAACATTCTGGACCACAGTACACTCCCAGAAGGACAGTTGCATTCACAGCACCCCCTGCTGGGGGGGAGGGGGGGGGCGTGCAGACGAACAATGGAACACAAAACCATTAGCGTTAGAATCCCAACAGTTCCAAACACACGCCGTCACGTCACGTACCCGTGGGGGTAAACTGTGTTGATGCGTGTCCCGTGGCTGGGGCAGGTGGAGGCCAGCGACAGCGTGTCGTCATGGTAACAGCAGGGTCGGTCCAGTGCCCGCAGGTGCAGTAACTCATCGGAGCGCGTGAAGACGGGATTGTCCACGGAGTCTGCTGATCCTGCCACGGAACGCAACCAGAACCGCCCTGACAGTTCATCGAAGTGGTTGAACCTGCGATAACTGCACACACACACACAGACAGACAGGAAGTTGTGATGAGGAGTTCATCCACATCATCTCTGTGGGACGGACGGATCAGTTGAATATTGTGGGGAGTTTTTATTTTTTTATTTACCACAGCCATGGTCCTGGAGGGTAATTAATCTGTGAGGATTGAGTCATTACTGAGAATGAAAGTTGAACAATGACCACGGTCACAATGTTCACTTCACACAGAACCAGAACCTTTGGAATGAGGAACTCCATGTTGCACTGCTTCCTTTTTCTGGATTGCGTGGTGACAGGACGCTGTCATAACTGTCAGACCCAACGTCCTGAATACGCCACGTTACGTTGATGACACCGTATTTGGACCTCGACCCAAATGTGATCCAGACTCATCGGACAGCTACAAACATTTACACTGAACTCCCAGGATTTCATTGTAGAGTTTTAATTGAAAGAACAGGGTGGAGCGCCACCTTCTGGACAATCAGATGTTCCCTGTTCCAGCCTCAACCTGCTTCAATTGAATCTTATGAAGAACAATTATGACCTGACAGTGACGTCCCATCAAACATCCAACCTCTGATTCAGTCAGAGCGCTGATAAAAGCTGGAGCCAAGTGACATGAGGTGAAAGACTAGGCTACGGCCAGGAGGGGGCACCATTTAGACTCCAACGAATGTAAAATCAAATCTGCATTTTTCTGACTCAGACACAAACAAATACGGAAATGAAGCAAGTTCACATGTGGACCTCACACAGTGAGAGTTTCTCTGTTCTCAGGTTGAGACTAAGACTATTAAACAGATTTAAACAGATCATTAAACAGATCATTAAACTGATCATTAAACTGATTATTAAACAGATTATTAAACTGATTATTAAACAGTTCATTAAACTGATTATTAAACACGTTCATAATGCATGAAGGAAAGAAGGAAGGAAGGTAGGAAGGAAAGAAACACGTTCTTCCGGGAGTAAATACATGATCGATGAGTCATTAAACAGATCATTAAACTGATCATTAAACTGATTATTAAACAGATTATTAAACTGATTATTAAACAGATCATTAAACAGATCATTAAACTGATCATTAAACTGATTATTAAACTGATTATTAAACTGATTATTAAACTGATTATTAAACTGATTATTAAACTGATTATTAAACTGATTATTAAACTGATTATTAAACACGTTCATCCGGGAGTAAATACATGATCGATGAGTGAAGTTGCGTGGCTACTTCTCAACGCTCTGATGCTCTTGTTTCCAAACATAGACGAACACTGACACCTAGCGCACATTACATTAATTACACGATTATGATTTTCATGCACCATAAACAAAAAGGTCGTGTTATTCAACATGTATTCAAATTAAGCTCATTGTAAATGTCATTTAAATCCCATGATTCAACAGTATTAACTATGAACTGAATATATAATTGAGATTATGACGTAAAAAAAAACTTTTTTTAAATATTCTATGTATTAATGATCAAATGAATATTTATATTTTTTACCTTGAAGTGACTTCAGATGAAGAGACTGAATCAGTACCTGCTGCGAGTTTGATCAACTTTAGCCTGGATCAGAACAGCTCGGTATCGCCGCACAGCCACAAAGGCCAAAACGCCAATCACTGTCACTATGACGACTAAGATGGCGAGACACGCCCCCACCAGCCGCGTACGAGTCATCCTCATGTCACACCTCAGTCCTATGTACCAGAAGTCCTCCCCCACGAGGCAGCTGACAACAGAGACAGAAAAGTGGAAAAAGAAATAAAGTAACAATGAGCTGGAAAAAGGTCACGTGACTTCACAGACGTGGACACGTGACCTGACCGGCAGACGGGACGTCCTCCTGGATGGTGCGTGCAGAGGCCATGATGGTGACAGTAGTCGAAGCGACAGACGGAGGAGCAGGTGTAGTTGGCCGCTTCAGTCTGGGCCAAACATTTGTAACCTGAGGGACACTGGAGCAACCAATCACAGACGGGGCCCTGGACACCTGGAGGCCGGAAAGAAAAAGACAATAAAACCACCGTTAACACAGAGAGCTGAACAGAAAGTGAGCAGAGCTTCAACCCCGACGCCACGTTTCAGTTCAAACAGACGGCGTGCGGATTACTGGACGACTAGCTTCAGCTGCCGCGACGCTCTACGACAGTGAATGTTGTGAAGGACAGACTGTCACACGGTTGGTCTCACAGCACGTCCGGCTGTTAATCAGATTCCACGAGGTGTGGGTTCGACGCTGGGCCAGACAGTCTAACTCAGTTAGATGTTTACAGACATGTTGTCTCAGATTAACTCAATAAACGCACAGATGATCGGGTTAGCGTGAACAGCCCGTGGGGGAATCAGAAGAAGGAGTCCATTGTTTCTCTCACCTCCCAGTGTAATGTTGACCACCTGAGATGATCCAAACTCCTGCCCCTGACCGGCGGCCTCAGCCAGTCCCGTGGTCTCCAGCCACCGCAGGGCGCCGCTGGTTTGAAACTCCACCAAGACCTGCACTGCACGGCCACTGCAACATCAGCCCACAGTGAGTGAACCCTCAGGTTCCATGTCTCATATACAGTGTATGGAGTGTTGTGTGGTGCAGTGACCCCCTGCCCCCAGGTTAGTCCAAAAGACAATTCAGAAGGTTCACATTTTAATAACAACCTTTTTTAGAACTTTGTCAGATTTATTTTTAATTTGAAATCAAAGCAAATATCTCACTTATTTCTTTATTCATTTAAAAACCTGAACAATTTACTGAGTGTTTAAATTGAGTTCCGTCCTTCGACCAGACCAAGAACTGACTGGTGAGGTGAATTCTCAGCTGGTGCTGCACCGACTCTCACTCTCACCCAGGCGGTGGCGTCTTCTTCACGGCCAGAGTTAAAGGCTGATCCTTCAACCGTTATCTGCAGCAGCAGCTCGATGGACTCCACTGTTGGACGGAGAAGACAACAAACAGCTCAGCACGGTGACCAATCACAGCAGAGTCCGACTGACTGGTCCCTATGGTGACGAAAGCCTGGTGGTCAACGCTGTTACTGCAGCTCACTAACCCCACCAGTTATGACTCCGTTTACATTCAGATGAAAATGTGATTTTATTGGAGTGTCCGGCCCCAGGGACTCAGACAGACACAGTTGGTGACCCCTGACCTACGGTAAACCATGGAGGGAGTAAAGAGGCAGAAACTGCTGCTGAATGTGCTTGACCTTCAAGATTCTCTCCAAACAGACAACAACGACAACGACAACCCGTCAACATCACCTTTAATGACCGCAGGGTGGTCTGGAACCACGTAAAAGCGCGGCGTCTGACTGGTCGTGGATCTCTGCGTCGCTGCTGAGGTTGAGGTTTCGGCTGAAGATGTCGGTCTGGACTTGGTCTCCTGACCAGAACCTTCAGTAGTCCTGTGGGGGGGCTGCAGTGATGGTGCAGCTGTGCTGGAGTACGTGGTGGTGAGTCCGGGAACTGACGACCAGGGAACGTGGTCTGCCAGACTGAGACCAGGACTGACCCTGAGAACTAGTCCGGCAGTCGTGGACGGGAGCAGAGCCGTCTGTGAAGGACTGACCGCTGGTGCTGGTGGGGACGCAGGAACAGTTTCCTGGTCAGACAAGGTGGACTGGGACAGGGTGGACTGAGACAGGGTGGACGGGGACAGGGTGGACTGGGGCAGGGGGGACTGGGACAAGGTGGACTGGGACAAGGCGGACTGGGACAGGGTGGGCTGGGACAGGGTGGACTGGGATAGGGTGGACTGGGACAAGGCGGACTGGGACAGGGTGGACTGGGATAGGGTGGACTGGGACAGAGTGGACTGGGACAAGGCGGACTGGGACAGGGTGGGCTGGGACAGGGTGGACTGAGACAGGGTGGACTGGGACAGGGCGGACTGGGACAGGGTGGGCTGGGACAAGGTGGACTGGGACAGAGTGGACTGGGACAAGGGGGACTGGGACAAGGGGGACTGGGACAAGGTGGACTGGGACAAGGTGGACTGGGACAGAGTGGACTGGGACAAGGGGGACTGGGACAAGGGGGACTGGGACAAGGTGGACTGGGACAAGGCGGACTGGGACAGGGTGGACTGAGACAGGGTGGACGGGGACAGGGTGGACTGAGACAGGGTGGACGGGGACAGGGTGGACTGGGACAAGGGGGACTGGGACAAGGTGGACTGGGACAGAGTGGACTGGGACAAGGGGGACTGGGACAAGGTGACAAGGTGGACGAGGGCATGACTGAGTGGGTGGTCTGTCTGTACCACGGTCCAGAGTCTGGTATCGATGGTAAAGACGGTGGACCAGCGGACGTTTGGTGTGTCTGTTCATGCAGGAGTGTGCAGCTAGGGGGCAGTGTCTGTGTTTCAGTTCTAGTACTTTCTACAGCGGGTGACGCCGGGCCGTCTCCTGGTGTGGGTGCTGAACCAGTGAGCGTCCCGTCTGTGAGCTGGTCTGTACCAGGGAGCCGTGTGTTTTCTGCTGTCGTTTGTGGCCGGGTGAACGTGGAGACGGGGTGAGGAGTGTGGCCCAGGCGCTCTGTCCTCTGGGTGGCAGCGGTCCGACTGTGAATCTCTGCTCCGCGCTCCGACTGTGAAGCTGTACCAGAGTCGGCCGGGCTCGGGTTCGGAGCGGTCCATTCTGGGGCCACAGGACGGGCAGGCGATCTGAAGGCAGCGGTAGGTGTCGGCGTGTACGACTCAGGGGTCGGGCTTCCAGCATGAACGCCGTCCGAGTCACGTGACACCGCGACGAAGGGCGATCTGGAAGGGTCAGAGGTGACCGGATCAGAACCCAGTCTCTTTGTGCTTCTGTGGATCCTCCAGGAGTGGGACTGACTGGGTTTGGGCGTCGCACTCACGTCTTCGTCATGTGAAATTGGTGGGACTGTAGCGCCACCTCTGGTGGAATAGAGAGCAGAAGGTGGACTGTTGGAGGTGGACGGTGTGGGATCCTCCTGTAGACCGGAGCTGTAGACCTGGTTCTGGTTCTGGTTCTGCCGGTGCTCCGGTCCAGAGTCGGTTTCTGTGGTGAATACGTCTGTGTGGAGAGTGTGCTCAAAAGAGGGGTGTGTCACAGATACAGGACGCTCAGTGCTGTGAACAGTTCCAGATGTTTCCGCTCCATTGTTTGGTCCTTCCTCAGGAAAAGGGGGGGTTCCCCTCCCAGCGACCCAGAGTCCCGTCAGGGGTGAGGTGGGCCCACGGTCCTGAGTGGAGTCTTCACCTCCACGCAGGTGACCTCTGACCTCCTCTGTCCTCGTCATCACCTCTGACCCTACAGGAAGTGCGCCTGTGAAGCTGGTCCTCGTCTGAGTCCAGTGGGTGAGGGTCTGGGCCGAAGGTGGGCCGGTGCGGTCCGACTCTGACCAGGAAGTCCTCTCATCTTCCTGGACTGGAAAACCAGGAACAAAACAAACACAAAACAGAACAGAATGAGGNACCGTGGGCACAACTACAGCCCACACTGACCAAAACATGACCCAAATCCTGGAGCAGAACAGAACAGGTCCAGATTCTGGTCCAGGTTCTGGTCCAGGTCCAGGTTCTGGTCCAGGTTCTGGTTCTGGTTAGCGGCTCACTGACTGGTTAACTAAGTTAGACAGTTCCTCACCCTGATAGGACAGCTGAATCTCATCAGGAGAACGTCCGTCTCCTGTCCAAGTGATGTGAGCCTGGTTTCCCCCACAGCCTTTGAGCAGAGCCCCCCCCTGACCCCCCAGGACCTGACGGTGAGCTCCTGTGACGTCACCACACAGCACCGATACACCGGCACCACCGGGACTCTGTGCCAGCTCCAACAGGAGAGTCCTGCCCTCAGGGATCTCTATC